AGTTGCTTGTTCCCAAATTCTCCCTCTACGACTTTGTTATGAAGATAAGGAAATTTCATGAGACGAACTTGATCAATCAGACGCCCTTTCACTGTCAAGATGTCGTTTGATTTGAAATTGGCTTTAGTATTTCAAGAAGAGACATTCTTAATAATAATCTAGGTTGGTGTGAAGTTGAATTGGCATTCATTCAATTGCTATTTTTGGAAATTCATTAGTTTTACAAAGCTTCGCTTTCTACTGATCATCCCCCAAATTCGCAGATAGAATTTCCATTCCAGGCCAAACCGGCCTTGATTTTATTTCCATTTATAAATAATCTACGTGTCAAGTGTCATCTCCTGGTATAACTTTCGAGCATCGATTTCTTGGGGTCTATCCTCTTTTATCCAAGCTTTGGTGAACTTCCACCTGTCATTTGTTGATAGTTCGTCCACACTAAATAAAACTTGCAGCTGCTAAAACACATTTGTTCTCCTTATTCTTAAACATGGGTGAGAGGAATCCACAGGAAATTCCAAAATACTTTGAAAATACTCGCCTTGAGATATATTCCGCTGACAGAAATAGCCGATGTTTTTTAAAAAAAAGTGGAGCTGAGACATTGACCTGTCCTAGACTCCATTTATCTGGACCGGGATGAGCAGTTTGTACTGAGTATTTCCCAAATGTGGAAGTGGGACCACATCCAGTTGGGATCAGTTCAATCTATGGTCCATTCATATGCCAGACTTCGTGAATGGTGATTACCAACCTTTTGGGGCCGAATTCGAATTTTTGATCGTGACGACGTCCTTTTCTGGCCAGTGTTATCCGAATTCAAAATGACATTCAGCAATGAAAGTGTAATATGCCTTTCTGGGTCAAAAAAACTTGGGATCCGTTCCAGTCCAGGCTCATTAACTTCACACCACGATGGATCATCCGAGTACAAATTGCGTAAAGTATATTTTTCGCTGGAATTCAGAATATTTTTCGCTTTCAAAATTGCATCTGTCTTTGATGGCCCATTTAAATTATCAGCTATATTTTCATTCCTGTCAGAATTCGCACCATTTCAAATAATTCTGATTCTTCTATCCGTAGGCATGGATTGAAGTCCATAAATATTGAAAAGTGAACAGTTTGAAAGCACTTTAGCTTAGTGTTGGTTTGGATTAGTGTAAATCCCTGATGTATTGAAGAAAGTCTTTGATTCCGTACTGTCTGGGGACCTAATTGAATCCGTATATTTATTGGTATAAAGATACTTCTCCTTTCACGTTGCAGCATTCACAATAAAGTTGACATATCCCTTTCCAAACCAAACTGTGTGAGGATCTGCTTGGCTCCATTTGTTAGCTCATTTAGGAAATTTGGATAGAGATGAATGAACTCCGGAAGACAGCTTCGATTTATTGGTTGGAGAAGACTTCATCGTCGTTAAAAATTTTCTTAGATCCGAAGGTAGAGCGCTCATCTCGAAGTGGGGGGTTGCTTTCCGCATAAAAATAAAGTCCCAAACCACTTATTCAATACATTGACTAGGTATAATTCATATTCCGATGAAATTCAAAGACATTAAAATGCAGAGGCCTTCTCCGTGTTTGTGTCAAGTCATTGCAGTAGCTTTCACGTCAAACAAGACTTGTATCTGTTATAGGTGATAGCGACTATCTTACCATTGTGAATGGGCAAGCCAAACTCAAAGGCTTGACGGTACCCAGATTGCGACATTCCACAGAAGGAGGAAACGCCTCTGCCTTTTGGGAGACAAAATCCTTGACACAGAAGGATGCTAACATCAATTTTGCCTTGAAATGACGCTGATGAAAAGCATTTTTTTTTACCTAGCGATTGGTGATCAAACTGCGCAAATCTCACTTCTTGAGGTTTGTGGGTATTTTGTACAATAGCAACGAGAAGAAAAAGGAGAAAATGACAGTAAATGAGTCAAAAGGTGTTATCACTGTTCTTCTGCGTCCTTATGACCCGCAATTTTAGGTATCCAGTATTGTAAGTCGGATTTTCGGCTGCGATATATCTTTGAAAAGTTCTCACTGTCGATTGGCTTTACGCCTCCTTTAGTGTTGAATATTTGCCGTGGCTGGGCCAACTTCAGTGTGACCAGTTTATATTGTATCAAATTTATAGTTTTGATCACGGAGTTTCGTTACAGAGTAGAGGCATCGGTAAAAATGGCGATGATTTACAATTGAAGTAAAACGGAGTTCCCCTCCCTGCGCCCTATTAAGTTGGGATCTTTTTCAATGGTCAAGCATTTGTCTTGGCATCCCGATGCAATTTCCAAATGCAGGTTGTATGAATCATTTTATCCATCCATCTTTTGACAGCCAATCTATTATTACTGACCTCTTCCCGGATGTGTTAAAACACATTTGATTATTTCACTTATAGGCGTAAATGAAAGGAATCCACGAATCAATTTCATATTCGCCTTGAGGCATTTCATAGTAGCAAGAATCACCGATGTCTTTTGACTAATTGTATTCATTCCTTTGGTAGTAGTGGTTTGGTTCTATGCCTCATGGTTTTGTACAATACCACAAAAGCCCATCCCTGCAGTTCCTTAAAGTGCAATCGCTGGGCTAGTCATAAACGATTGTGTCGTCAAAAATCTACCTCCTTTTGCTTTCACATTGGTTGCAGAAATATGAATCAGGATTATTTTATTAAAATCTACATAACCCACGAATTCGTCTTTTTTGTCAAGTTGAGGTCAACCATGTCACATTTTAACAAAATTCGCCTTATCACTTCTTGAAGGGAGCCTTTGCACGTTGGAAATAATGTGATTCAACACAATCTGTTCCTTCGACAACTTGTTTGCTTACTCAAAAGCCGCTTCTCTTGACTTGACTGGTCCACAATGAACAGGGGTGGTTTGTAATTCAAGTCCACTGAAACACATTTGGGAGAACGTTTCGCATCCATCGATGGGCTCAACCTCCAGGTAACAACCTTCCCAGCTGTTGTGACAAGTAGTTGTTTCATTCAAAAAACCCCAATCTTGTTTGTGAAAGTGACCTCGTCCATTTTAATTTTTCGCCACCTGTTTGCGGGTCCATGATATCTGTTGAAATATGGATTCTTTTCCACAAAATACTACGAAGGCAGCGGTTGAAACACAGCGTTGGCAACAGTTGAGACTGGACTAAATATCCAAGGACCACCGTATGTGTTCACAAACGAACACTACAATTCTAAACCGCCTTTTCGTACGCCTCGATTCTAAGAGTCTCGAATCGACTACTTATGCTGAAGTCGGCTAAGTCGGTAGCTCAATAATTTGAAAGGAGGTTGAATTTTTAGCCTATTTTCCTCATCAGACAAATAGATATGTCCTATTTTCAATTCAAGAAAGGGTTTATTTACCATTCTCGTGTAAATGCAACGGTTTCTTGGGCGGTTGCTATTTTTCCGGAGGAAAATAATATGAGAGCTTTCACGCTTGCGTAAAAGTACACGCAGCTTTAGTCGCTTGCTGCTCTGTGCTTCGGGAGATCAAGACATGTTTGACAAGTCAACAATGTCAGAAAGGAGAAATGATGCACGATGCGTTCATGGGGGATAATTAACTGTCAACGTTGAAGGCTTTTCCGCCTTTTGTTCGACTGATTTGTGTTTTGTTGTTTTTCGACTGAAGGACCTTCGAGATAGTGGTAGAACTGATCGTGACCATGCTTATTTTGATTGGCTTGCCTCAAGGTCATGTCAGGTTCATGTATTTCTCCCTTACCGTCAAGGTCCAGATTGGCTGGTAGGAGATCAAAATGTAGATATTCATATTACGGGTGCGGTTCTGCTGAATTGAGATATTTCAAAAGACTGCTTGATTTTGTTATGCAGTCGGAGTTGCAATAATCCCGAAGCAGGGAATATGCAAATGTGCCACAGCTTGTCGATGTTTGGCTAGTTACATGATCCTTAAAGGTGTATGTACAAATATTTTGGTGCTACAAGTATGCAGTGAAAAAATTTCCTGAATAGATATCAGTCCCCGCTTTATTATTTTCGGTATTTGTGGATGAGGAAAAGCCATGTTTTTGTGCGAAGGTATCGAGAAAGAATGTTGTGCAGATTACAAATAAATCAAATTTTCTAGCCTGCCTCCTGCTTCTCCTTCGCCTTTCCTTAAATTCACAAGTAAAACTGTTCCTCTGCGCAGTGGGCATCGAGGTCTTGACGCTACCCGTAGTTAAGTAGTTGAATCACTTTACTTAGTTTAAATAAGTAGCGCGTTTTTAGTTTTGCTACCCAAATTTTGGCGCTTCGTGTAGCCGAGTAGCGTAATTTATTCCACCCATGCACAAGTTTTTAAAAACGAATGAACATGTTGCTAGTCTTGGCTACGCAAATAGGCCCATTGGGTGTGGATTTAGAAGGGCAATGTAGAAGATGTCGGTAGAAGACTGTGATTCAGAAAGTGTAGACTATTTCCCCTCAACTTGTTTTTAAACATTTATTCCAGATTACGTCTTTCACAGATGTACTAGAGAGCTTTTTCTGCCGTTATATACATCCAAAAAGTGGTAGCATTTTTGCCGTTGGGCCTTCTTAATTACCCCTTCCCAATTTTTAAATGTGAAATTATCACAACAAGTACACGCCCATCTCATATTGGGCGTTTACCATATGAACTAAAAGCACGAATACCTTAATTTTAACAAAAATTTGGGGAATAATTTTACTGAATTTGAAGAAAAGATAGGTTTCGTGAAAAATCCAGAGATTTGAGGAAGCTAACACACCGAGGATCACCGAGATGTGATCTTTTACCGATCTGTGTAACCACATGGCTAGATTTGATGCCTCTTTTTTTAAAAATCGGACCTTTTTGGAATGTTCATGAATTACAGTGTCTGTATACCTTGAATTGTTTGGTGTAAACCATTGATAAGGTGCTGCGGGAAGGGGGGGAGGAGAAGGCGAACATCTCGTTGTGAATGCGTCTTAGCCTATCGTTACTCATGAAAAACCAAGCTTGTGTATGTAATGTCTGGTGTCTACATCGACTTTGGGGAAATAAAAATCAAGCCTGGCCAGTGGAAAAGAACAAAAAGGATATGGCATAATTATGAGACCTCACAAAACTTACAGCACACCACCGAATTTCAAGTGTTGCAGCCGAGGTTTGGCAGTAGGTAAAACTCCCAATCACCTCCATTTGATTGGTTCTTTCCCTGAAGTGATTGACCAACAGAAGTCGTCCAGTCAGGTGATTGGTTCCTTACTCAATATATGCCCTCATTAGACACAAACAAACTTGTTCTTCTCGTCCAGTTCACACGATGCTTCACTGATCTCTGTGCTGCAATGGCTGATGGTACTGCTGACATTTCTATCGCTGGCGGCGGCGAGGATGTGTAATTTCTCCCTATTCCTAAACACTTTTTCCTTGATTTTCACCTTCGTTTGCCGCCACTCTGCTGCCAATCTAACTCAGGATGAAATCGCGGAGTTTTACGGTTTGGGTAGACACTTTTGCGATCTACCCACTGATGAGGCAGCCTATCGAATTGCTATTCTTGTGCCTTTTGATCCCACCCTTGGGGATATTTCCGCCGCAGCGGCACAACTTCAGGTAGCTCTTTCTTACCTGTCCGGGGTCATCTTAGACTGTGGCCTGACTTGTGGAGGTGCACCTCTCTGAGCTTAAAACGACAGTTCTGTTCTTAATTTCAGTGTAGCGGGGAATGCTTCCAAATAGGTTAAATTTTCCCGTTGAGGTAAATCCCGGCCGGTGAGTGTGGCATGACCTTAGGGTTTCAGGCAAAAGTGCATTCCAGGGGCAGATGTTGGCAGTTCTCTCCCTCTGTGGGAGGCCATGTTTCGCTCATAGTTCTTGGCATATTCAATCCTCCGTATTTAAGCGTTTGTAACAGCACTTGGTCAGCGAAGTCATAAGATGCCTAAGAAATTCTACGGGTAGTTATTTTCATGCTTACGAATTAACGATCACAACAACAATCTTGTCTTTCGAATTCCATAAAATACGAGTATTTTCAGGGGATGCCCTCCTAGGTAGAAGTTGTAATAAGCCCTTAAATTAGTCCACCTGCTTTGGTTTGATGAGCTTCTTAACCTAAGGTGGGACGCTTCCTGAATTTGAGTATTTCTCAGGTCCACTATCTTCATTTCGGCCTTGCCACAGTCCCCAAGTCCATGAAAAGCCTGGGAGAACCCATTGGAAAACTTTCTCAGGTATTTTTTATAAGGCAGTTTTTTTTACAAAATTGCCCTCCGGGTATAGGTTTTTTTTTTGATCTTACCGATTTCAGATTAACAATCCGGCGGTAATGCTTCCTTTTGCCTTGTCACAGTGTCAAAATTGATTGAATTCTTGGGATTCCTGTCGTATTCAAATCTCATCTTCCATTTGCCTTGAAGCATTCGTTCATTGTGAAATACATACATACAATACAGTGATCTGGGAACCTAAGTTTTCAAAGTCCCTCTCAGGCATTATCTTTCCGGTCAATGAGCTAAAACGCTGCTTCATTCTATTTCAAGTGGAGGCATGAAAAACTCCTGATCTTGAACCCAGTGTGGTTCCAGGCTTTCTTTAGGAAGACCGTAATTAGGACTCTATTTTGCGAAAGCAGGCTTTTTACTGAGTGCTGAGTATCTGCGTCTGGTTTCATGATACAGCTTCATGAATAGATGTCTCAATACACTTTGCATTTAGTAATCATTTGCACGTCAATGAGGCAGCAGAACACTTCGGTACCTAAATTGAGGCGACGAAATTACTTCAGTCATATGCTCTGATATACATTCGCAGTTGCGACAGGTGCAAGATTCGCAAGGTCAGGCCACATGTTAGTAGTAGCTGGAGAGGTCTCAGAACGCGTTTCTCTTATCCTTCCACTACAAAAGAATGCCAAAGTAGCCACTTATTTGGCGCCAGCCCTGGACTACGCCATCAACCGAATCCAAGCCCTACCCTTTGCCTCACGTCTGCCACGTCTAGAGTTTCTCTGGGGCGACACCAAGTGTGATGTCGCAGTCACTCTCAACCTCATATTCCACTTTCTCATGGACGATCCCGTCCATGCCTTCATCGGTCCCGTGTGCACCTTCCCCCTCGCCTCCGCAGCGCGCATTGTTGGAGCCCGGTTTAAGCGGCCCCTAGTCACATTCGGTGGTTTTGAGATTGATCTCGCTGACAAGACCCGCTACCCACAGCTCACCCGTCTGGGTGGCCATCATGGATCCCTGAACGGTTTCCTCTACACCGTATTCACGCACTTTGGCTGGGAGCCACGAGCGCACAAGAATATTGCACTGTTACACGTGCGAGTAGACGAGACCACGGCTGATCTGGAGGGTGTCAGTCCACAGATTGTTGCTGCCGCTGCGTCGGCGTTCTTTGTTGCTAAGGCGATTCTTTCCGGTGGAGGGTTGGGTGGATTTCGAGTGGAGGGAGTGATCACTGATCACAATAATGTGGAGGATATGCGACAACGCATGAAGCAAATCTCCTCCTATGGACGTGGTAAGCTCTTTGGAGAGAGGAGACGCTCAAGAGGAGTTTTGACCCGTTGGCTTTGGGGGCAGTTAAGTACGGTTGGTGTTCCGAAAAGTTGCCCATGGGTAGGGTTACTTGGTCCCAATATTGCTAGGATTTTAACAAATATATAGTTCGACGAAACTGGTTTTTCTAGAAGCTAAGCTTTTTTCAAGGCCTTCGGCGTTTCGCATTTCTAGTTTCTCTGAAGCTGCTCAAATTCTTGGCATTTTTTTTAAGTGAGCTTTTGATGATTCTTGTCATTAGTAGAATATCAAAAATGTTTCTTTTACCCGTTTTTGACTTTGTTTGTAGTTTGGTTCTCACTACAATGGAAAATGAAAAAGCCTTGTCGATGTTTTATTGTTAATTTCAATTCACGTTCGCATATTCTTTATCAACCTTTAATTTTATGAAGCATTTGGGGGAAATAGGGCATGGTTGCTTCTAAAAATAACCGGAAAAGCATGTCAGAATTAGTAGCTTTTAAAAGCACTCATGCTAATTGGCTGGTTTCCCATTTCTACTTCCAGTTAAACTTCTGTGATTTTCTATCAATGACTCAACTGATTTTCGGCTCACAAATGCCAATAAATAAGCAAATATTCTAAAAGTTTGCTAACTTTTTGATGAATTTAATACCGAAATATCATTTCTAGTTTGTTATAAGGCAACGGAATAAAAAAAATGAGAATTCCCTGAAGGATCTTCATTTTTTATCCTTTTGAGAAACTTGAGACGTTCACTGTCGTTGGTGGATTTGCGGTGTTGTTGAACTTTGACATTTTTGCGACCGAGCACTGCTGCTAGCTCTTTCGTTTTTAATTTATGCGAAAAAGAAGGCAAAGACTGCTTTACTTTTAGAAGAATCGTTCTTTTGGCCCCTCAGTCCTATGTTAAAAGTACAAACGTCGACATAATGTCTTTTACTATGGAATCAAATGCTCTTTTCTATCCCGGAGTGAAGAAACGTCTCTTTCATGGCGATGTTCATTTGAAAACGATATAAGCTTATTAGCTATGCTTCGTTTAGAGAAATTTTCTCTACAATTCTTTGCTCTTTAATTCCATTTGGGCTTTCTATTTCAATCAATTAACAGTAGGTTGCAAGAACATTTTATTCAATCATTCTTTGTTAACAAAGGATTGGTCCCTGTAGAATTAGTACTTCATTACATTTTTGGACTTGCTGAAAAGCCGAATTTGCTTTTCGTAAACACCTTCTTTAGTCGCACTTTTCCTTTATTCCGCTAAGGAACCATTTACTCGGGTTGGCTTTTGTTAAAGAGTCGGAAGCTTGCCTTATTTATGGTTATGAGTCTTTTAGACACAGGCTCATCCCATATATTTCCAGATCGGCTTTACCAGCTCACGACTGGGGAAACTTTCAATTTTTTTCCCATTCACCACTACCCTTTTTTCGTCTCCTTTTTGCTACTAATGCTCAAGTCTGTGTTTTTGAATGGTTTTTTTGCAGTTGTGATCCTTTGTGCCGATCCCGACGCAGTTCGACAGTTAATGCTCATCGCCTACGAATTGGGCTTCATCAACGGAGAATACGTCTTCATTAACATTGATCTACTCAGCAGGTTGGTTTCTCACTCTTCCACGTTGCTCCGTTTTTAAATACTCCATTAAAATTGAACCTCATTGAAAACGTGCCACAATGCAGTTAGGTTTTTCGAACACAAATGTTCGAATATTTCTCCCATTTAGTTTTTCTGCATTCAAAACTATCCCTGAAATCGTAGACACCACATATGAGGGAGTAAATGTACCAATTTAAAAGCGGTATAGATATTTGTAGGATGAATTTTCCATCAACAAGAAGGCATCCTTGCGCTTTTCTGATACTTACTTTGTAGAAGTGCTAGAGTTTTGAAAGATTCGCAGGTTGGAATACTTTCATTTGCTCTTGGGCTATCACCCATACGTGGTCTCGAAGGCAACTCCATCCCAGATTATCATTAAATCGTTTGTCGGACTAACTTTTTGAGCCAAGTGAGCCGGGCAATTTGATACCCTCTGTCCCTTTTCTGTAGGTTATATCACACATGGTAGCAAGGGTACCGTTGAGATAAACCTGTTTTATCATATTGCATCAATCCCTCTGTGAAGACATTTGATATAATCGAATTGAATATCAACCTGAAGTGTAATAGGTCACTGTGACACCGTGTTGGGATTGATAGAGCTTTACCTTTTAAACAAACGCGATCCCGTGACTACTTAGCTTGTTTTTATGATTCCAAAGCCACTGCTAAAGGTTTCTACTCTGGCAGCATCAGATCCCAAAATACCTGCTGATAGGCGCTAACCTATTGTTAGAAATTCACATAAACTCTGAAGAAACTCCGATGACATTTTGATTTGGTGAGTTTAGGACTTCAGTCTTACCATCAATTCAATTAATCGTCTCATTCTTAAGTTGTCAAAACAAGTATGGATATCTAATGATAAAATCTCTTCCCAGGTAAACTTGTTTGGCGCAAGCGTTTGAGACTTCATCATTTTGAAATCGCTGAAAAACTTTCCCTTTTTGGTACGTATCCCAAAGTGAGTTCAGTGGTAGTGGGATATTAACCTTGAAGTCGCCTAACCCACGATGTTTTTTCTGAAAAGTCCCGTTTTTACCCACTGGTTGCATACTGGACACAGTTCGTCTCCAGAGTGGTCTCGTGTCTAAAATTATAAATAATAATACGTTGGAAAGTTGCATGGACCTATCCAAACTTTTACCTTCTGGAAATATTTTGAATTTAGTGATTTTGTTATTTACTGGGTCATAAAAACATGCAAGTTGGGCGATCTGATTTGGTTAACTGTCACCAACAACGCATTGGTAGTCCGAATGACAGCGCATAGTTTGTGGTTTTTAAATATGCCCCAAGTGTACTTTTCACTAAAATGCCAAATTCAGGCCTCATAGGTGATGAATTTGGCATCAGATTCTCCTCCTTATAGTGCATTTTCCTAACCGTCTTAGTCGTTTTCTCTTTTTGCTCTCTTGACTGCTTAATCACTTCACACTTCTTCAAACTCACAACCAACCGGCTTGCCCAAGAGAGGCCGGACTTCCTTCGTTTAGTCGTTGTCTTTTTACAAGTGTTAAATAAATCGAGTTAAAAAGTAATCACTGGAGGGTGTACATTTGGGCATAGTATGTATCTCATGGTCGATGTGTTTATGTTATTAGCAGTGAATGAGTGTTAAATGCTATTTTTTTCTAATTGATTGCGGCAGAAATCCGTTCACTGTAATCTTTGAATAATGATTGACTCCGGTTGTAAGCAGGGCAACCGTAAAGCCATAGTTGGAATACCGGGTCCGAACACCTTTCTCTCTCGAAAAGCCCCCACTCTTTACCCATCACGTGTACTAGTAACAATTCGCCCTTTTTATTCGAAATCGGAACAGGAAGTTGTCACTCGTTCCTCTTCTTTCTTCACTTTCTTCAGTTCGGAGCAGCAGGCACGCCCCTGGTTCCGTCTGAACGCACCGGCCGAGGAGAACAAACGGGCGCGGGAGGCCTACCGGGTGTTGATGACAGTCACTCTGCGCAAACCCGACAGCGAGGAGTACCTCAAGTTTGCCCACGAGGTCCAGCGGCGCGCCAAAAATGACTACAACTACTCCTATGCTTCCAACGAGGTGCGTAGCAGCATTGTTGATGTTTAAATTTTAGCAGAAAAAACCACGTTTCATTATTATCATTCATGGCCATTACACGTACTCCAGCTTTCTGTGTTTCGTGAATACGCTCTTCTCCGGTGGAGGGGTTTTAGGCCATCTGGGAAGGGTTTATTGACGTAGAAGTTCGCAGGGCCTCTGGTATTTGATAAGGCAGTTAATTGGCTTCCGTTGTGTATGCAGTTGGAGCCAGGCATTTCAGATCCAATTATAAGTGATTCGAATTCCAGTTAGATTTTATCTTTGAGGAGTGAGTTGCTCTTTCTCGCAGCTTGCACGATCCTTGATAACGCGATCCCTTACATCTGACTTCCTCGATCCCCTACTTTGATATCTCGGACTGCCTTGTTTGGGGGCATCTTTGAGGGTTCACTGCTCTCCAGCATTAAGGACGTCAAGAAAACTTGCGAACTTTTTAGAAGTTGACCATGGTTTTATTAGATGTCATTTTGCTGTGCTTTTTTCGAAGATATACGCTACACATTTTGAAATATCATATTTCTCTTAGGCAGTTTTTGATTTCCTTGGAATAAAATTATGCTTTTTTGAATCACATAATTCCCTAACTGAACTGATTTTCCTATGACCTGCTGCAGTTCACAACACTTACCCATCCACATCTATCCACCCGTGTACTTCATGTTTCTGCAACTCGACTTTTGCCATAATCTTCGGTCATTGCGTGGATGCACACTAGTAAATTTCACGTGGCTGACGTTCCAAGTGTTTATTTATCTACTAATAATCCATCGGGATCCTCTCAATGATTCCTACATGTTGATACTTTTCTTGCTTGAGATATTACTTTAGATCTGAATTACAACCAAGTCCCATAGCTTTGTACTGCACTAGAAAGGAGGCAAATGCCCATTCTGACCGAACTACGTGTCCACTGTGTGTTCAATTTTGCACTGACGCTATATTATTCTCACTTAATTTTTAGCGCTTTTCGTCGCTATGCTAATTCATTTGTAAAAAGTACGGGGCTGAAGATAATCCTCATTTCGAGTTTAACCTGGATGAGTAAAACAACAATTCCAGATCGGTTGCTTCTGGATCATCGTTGTAGCGGGCCGTGGACGAGTAAGGATTGCATTTCTACCACATGTGAAACTTACTGAAAAGAATAAGTTGTTTAAGCAAAGACTCAAGACCACTGAATTTGATGTCGGTTTTTATGAGGATTTGTAGCTGCTTGGACACATCCACAAGTGGATTTCTGGCTGAATGAAAATATTGAAGTAATGGTCTTACAGTAAATGAAGAAATGTGCTAAAAATGCGCATTTTTAATGCATTTTGGTGACTGAAGTTGTGCGAAAAAGTTCTTCATGATAAAACGTGGAGGAGGGAACCTGATCTAGAAAACATCCCATCTCTCAATGTAAAATTTTCCTGGTGAGTCCGATTTTTGCATCACAAGTCTCCTACCTCTGTGCATACATTATTCAATTGCCATTTTCCTCAAAATATGCACCTGAATGATCTACATTTCTTGCTCATCACGTTCGGGAGTATCATCCCCCTCCCTCTCCTTCCCTACTTTCGACGTGCATAATAGTTGCTCATTTTTCAGAAAAAAAGATAATCCTCCACAGAACACTCATCTTCTAAGCAAAAAAATGAGGAGAAAAATGCAGCTATTTGGTTATTTTTAGTCCCCATTCATGTTGTTTTATCTAAAAATGTTTCTTCTTGTCATTTCTGCTGCCATTGCTTCAGGCAAAGTAAATAGTGCATGAAAGGGGCTCGCTAAGTCTATTGTCTGAAGATAGAGAGAATTTTCATAAGGAGCAAGTGGGTAACTTTCTGGCCTAAAATTTACTGTCGAGTTTATTGTGTGAAATTTCGTGTTAAGGACACCCAAATTGAGGTCACCTTTTGTTTAAGCTATAATGACGATCCTTGACCGTGTTTACACGACCAATTCCAGCATCAAGACCATGTTTAGTGTATTTCTCCTGAAAAGATCTAGTTCAAGTGTTTGTTTCTTTTGACAATAATGGACACTTTGTTTCAATGAAACAACCGATTCTTTTCTTTATTATAGTGCCCTCAGTGGGTCAAAATATCAAATTAGTAGCTCTAGGGATCTGTGACTGGGTGAAGTAATTAAATTTTGCGGAATTGGGGCTAATTTCAAGAAAATTTGTGTGCACCATCAGCTGTGATTCTTTAAGGAAAAAGTTTAAATTTTACGGATAGAATGTTAAACAGAGACGTCTTTAAAGTCAAAAAATTTGACTTTAACCCAAGTTGGTTTGCTCTCGGACTTGAGTAAAGTTAAACGTACGCTTGGTATCTGAAGGTTTAACACAAAACCAACTACGGCAATCGCTTGTTCTATTTATAAAATGATTCCATTTCGGTAAAGCTTACAACCTGCAAGTGGATAGTCATCACCAACACCATCTACGATAGTCACAAGAAGTAAAAATGGTTTTCTTTGGAAAAATGCCTTGATAATGGAGTACTTAAAATCGTAGGAAAGTTCACAATTTGAAAAGTGTGGTTTGGTTAGCTTTTCCTTTTGTGACGCATTTCAAAACCCTATTCTTGTTTCATTTTATACGCTTAAACTGTGCTGCTACACCTGTTTATCGTTCAAGCAAAATATTCATCTTCCCTTAATTTTTTTTACTTTCTTGGTTGTTTGAACGAAAATTTTGATGACAAATTCCAGTAACCATCTTGATGAAAAAGTCTAGCTTTCCACAACTCCGACGTTGTTGATAAACTGCAACATCATGTACTTTATGGCTGATGGAGCGAATGCGCCTTGGCTCATTCACTTTATCATCAGGCAGGTAATCGGATTCATAGACAAAAGAAAAAACTTCCTGTATTTAAAAGGGAAATACGTCATCATTCCTCTTGTTTATAATAATTAAGGAATTCAAACAAAATCAGAATTGATGTAACTATAAATTTCTCTGCATTTTTATAAATCTGAATAAAATATGTTTTCCGATAAGTACTGGGTTCATTAGAAGGCATCCTTTGCACTTGGATTTCGGCATTTGGAGATTAAAAGATGGAACAAGGTGAAGCTTTATTAAAACCAAAAGTAAATAGTAGTGACGGAAGCTTCAAGATCAAAAAAACATACGATATTCAAAATGCGTTCTTACGGATTTCCGTGCTCTAAGTTAGTATTTCCAGAGGAGTTGGTCGAGCACTTTGCTCATTGGGATAATTGTCACCAAAATCGAGGTCCCTCCTTAACTCGACACGAACTAGTGTGAGCTTAACTATTCAAAATGTACTGTCTCAAAGCCAAGAATAGCCCAAACAATCACAGTTTCTACTTATTTTCACTTCTCAGATGCCTCTTTAATTCCATGTATATCTGATGTGTGTTTCTCTGTCAATTCCGAGAGTAAATGACAGCT